TAGTACTATCGCCACTATCGTTTCATTGATAGGGTATTCTCTTTCCTAGCGCTTTTGACATTTACACGTATTGGTTCAAAGAGAACAAAACTTGGCAGCATTATTTCATGAACCAAAGAGTAAAGATCACCCATGACGGAGTGCGAGAGAAAGTTTTTTTGGCAGTGACGTCATTTTTTCGCCGCCATGCTATCAACTATTATTTTTTTCTCATATGCAATTACAAATACACGGTTACCGTGCTGGGTGATTTGCTTAGTTGGTTCATAGCATTATTTCTAAAAGCGCCATTTTTTATTTTAAGCGTGTAAATAGCAGAGGTTACATTGCCGTCTTAAGAGCGTCTCAGAAGTGGTAATGCAGTATGTTTCAAAGGACTGTCTAATTGAGAAATTTCAGAAAGCAGTTTCATGAGCAGTGACACCATGCATGGAAATTGTCTTTCGAAAGAAAGTTTTTTGTTTCCGAAAAGCGAATTGCAGGGAAAGCTTCTGAAATCGCTCTTTGACTAATTAGACGGCGAATGAATTTCTAGCAATATTTCTCGATACTAAAATGCAACCGTGAGCCGCTAAAATAAACAAATTTATAAAAGCAAGATAACGAAAAATAAATGGATTTAGAAAAACATATGAAATGGGTCGATACTATCGATAGTCACCCTTAAGACTATCGTAAATCTTCGATGGACTTGACTATTGATAGTTTGACAGCTCTAAAGTGTACACAATTTTGGCAGTTACATGCTGAATCGCAAAATGAGGAAGTGTACATAATTTTGACAGCTAAAACTCATTCTCACTCTTCCTGAATCGCAAAATGAAGAGTGCACACAATTTTTAGTGTACACTTGAAAACTCAAGGCACTGTTATGCATACTTGGCAGTGCATTGCACATTTAAGCAGTGCATGTGAAACTTGGTGCTGATTCACGATTGAGAGAATACAAAGGTTGCGCTGATCTCGGACCGCTATTCCTCTCTTAACGAATTTGACAGAACCGTTGTTTGCATGACGTCACACTTGTGCAACTTGTTTACGTTTTCCTTGCAACATTTTTTCTTCTTCTTCCATTCCTGCTCACGTTTTGGCATTTCTCTCTCGCAATTGCACCAGTGTGACGTCCCACAAAAGTTATGGTGCATTTACATGGTATGAATCTGTTCATAAGCCGTATGAATTTTCCTATAAAAGAAGCACCAACTCTATAAATAAATGAATGAAAGCGATATATATTTAACATTTTTGACTTATATACTTGGCAAGTATTTTTTTTGTAAACAAAAAAACAAAAAAATTTCATTTTGTGCTAACTTCGAAACTAGCAGCTTATTTTATTTTTAATGTGCTTTAAAAAGGACCTACTGCCAATAAAGCCTTGCGGTTTGGTATTTTTTCAAATGTGTAATGCTTCATTCAAACATCTTTGTGGATAAACAGTTTTTTGTTCAGAAATTGCTTGTTTACGTTTTTTGTCTTTCATATTAAAAATGTTTGGCATAAGTTGAAATCATAGGGATGCCGTTTTATTTCGTTTCTCAATGGATTTTATACTTGAAAAGGCACCAAAATACATATATATGCACTACTTTTGCATATGGTCATTCAAAGTACAAAACCGCGCTTCAAGAAAATGCAAAACCTTGTATGTGAGGTTGCCTAAATTTTATAGGAGAGAGTAAAATTTGTCATAATTCAAAACGGTTCCCTCTTTTAAACTTAATTATCTCTTCTTATGTCTACGTATCGAAATTTTAGTATAAATGATTAAGAGCTTGATGATAGGAGCTTCCGGTGAGCAAATATCTTTTTTTGGCACAAATGTCAGTTACGAGGTTTTACAGAACCACGATACGCGATTTTTTACTTTAAACGACGATATACAGATTGGCGCTTACACAATATGTTAGAGTTTGGCCTAGCTTCTCCTCCCATATGGGAAGCTGTTTTCATGACAGAATACACTCGGTTTACTATTACCAATAGAGGAGCGACAGCGAACAGCGGAGTGTATATATCGATGGCTGAGTGGAAGATCGACCTATCTCGGCAGCCAGTTCGAAAACGCGCTATCTCAGAAAACTTTTCAAAAACGCCCTATCTCAGAAAACTTTTCAAGGATGTCCTACTTCAGAATTTGATTGAAAACACCCTATCTGAGCTGCCGATTCGAGTGCAATGGGGTATAGTCATTGCGCTGGGTATGCAGTTACAGTTGCATGGCTATACTCAATCCCGACTCTTGCGTCCTCGTTCGCGCACTCTGGGCAACGTGAGCAACCCATGTGCGAGATGCGGTAACCAATCCGAGTGGAGCCTTGGGTCACGGCAGAAACAGAGGGAGCTTCGGTGGGGCCACTCTGACTTATTCGGTTTAAGGGCTCACTGTAGTCTGCAGCGTCTGTTCACCAGTAGGTGCGGCAGCAAGCGGGTGTCTGCTTGGAGCAAGCGGCTCGCTATATAAACGTGTATTTGGTTGCGAAACCACCCCCGTCCCAGCAATGGGTTGTGCGCTGGGCTTGGGACCCGCCACGTAAAAACCACTTCCAGTGAAGAAGTGAAATATTAGTGAAAATAAATTTAATTTAATAAATATCTTCACTTGGCGCGCAATATCTATTAATCCGTTAAACGTAATACCACTTCCATATGAAGATACATATATCGAAATACGATATATTTTCACAGAAGTTAACTCAGCCATCGGCCAGGACATGGATGAAGTATTTTTGGATTTGGTTTTCATTAATATTTGCCGACTGCAAAATAAGCGAAAACAATGCAGACGGAATCGTCGCTGAGCGGTTCATCCCGTTAATAGAGATCGGATGCCAAATGGGTATTTTAAGAAAGTCTTCTTAAAATCAAAACCCGTCGATAGTAAACTTTCTATTAACTAGGATGAACCGTTCAGTGTACAATTTGTTACTCAATTTATTGCGAGCTTTCCTCGAAAAGCCCAAGCAACAAATTAGTGCAAAAGAGCGCCTTGTAATAACGTTAATGTAAGTTAAAACGGTCTATGATACTAAATTTTTCATGGTTTTCAATGTTTATTTGGATTTAGGTACCTTGCCCACAGGACGAGATTTGAAATTATTGCTTCGATGCATAAATTGGGCAGAACAATGGTCTATTATATGGCTATTATAGACCACCTTATCACCAACATATCTCAGCGAACCGACTACGACTCAATATAAGCATATTGCGGATGATTTTTTTAATCTGTGGAATATCCCAAATTGTGTTGAGGCGGTTGATGGAAAGCACGTTGCCATCATATGTCCTAAAAACTCTGGCTCGCTGTACTACAACTTTAAAAAATTTTATAGCATTGTATTGATGGCAACCTGTGATGCAAAGTTTACGTTCACATCAGCCAGTATAGGAAGCTATGGAGGACAAACTGATGGAGCTTACAGTAACCGGTTTGAAATCTTTTGATATTAAATATTTTTTATTTTTTATTTAAAGGTATTTTCCAACAATCAGCCTTCGGATGTGCCCTTCTAGAGAATAGATTGGCACCAAGGTATATTCAACAAGGTAGAAGTGACAACTCAGTCTCTCATAGCTGACTGTAATGTCAAAAAATTTAAACAAAGAAATTAACGATTTGTTATGCATGTACCACATTTTATCATTAGTGTTCGCAGAGCATTTGCCCTGAAAGAAACATTGGTCCAGTTGCTCGTAAAATATAGTCGTAGGCATAGTAGTTTTGTATCTAATGTATGTAATGCATAAGGTATGAGTTTTGATCTAAAATTGGGTACAATGTCACGCAGTAGCGCACAACGGGTACAATTAATGATTTACTGATATGTAGGCACTTAGTCATCTAATTTTCATGTGCGTCGTTGGTATGCACTGAGAGTATCTGCTTAGAAAATCTTAGAACCCCGGTTCGACGCGCATCTGGCAAAAGTTTTATTTTATTTATTTTTTTATATCTAAAATTGGTTACAATGTAATGCAGAAGCGGACAATTGGTCCGAGCCTAGGAAACTCAATGTTAAATGTAAATAAAATTTTACATGTGCTTGGACCAAACTTTGGACTACTTACAATCACTTGTAGTCTAGTTTTCGGTGTGCTCCAAGTCTATTTCAAGATCCTAAAGGGTGCTTATATAGTATGTTAGTGTACTCGTGGATCCGGTCGTGCTTGTTTATGGCACACTTGCTCAGTTTGGGTATGTGCATCAACAGCTAACTTCGTCCCCACAGACACCTCAGGTACTGCCGAATCTTGGTATAATGGAAGCATTGGGGAATCGCAAGGTAGAGGTACTGTGCCTGGGAACAAACGAGAGCGCTTAGAAATTCTCAGTTGCAATGGGCAACAAATATAAAGTCACTGCCCCTAAAATGGTTCTCGCACACACACGAAGAGTATTCCAATGAATCACCGCAGCTATTCGTCCACCTTTTTCGCTTCACTTGACAATAAAGTTTGTTGTCCTGGCTTTGCCACACACAGCACACCGCCCGTTTATTTTATTTCATTTTATCTATTCATTTTATTGTGTATTTAAAATCAGTAGCACAACTCACAATTGAAATTTTAAACTAAAAAATTATAATTATTAATTGTATAGGGTTAAGAGTTGACATTTCAGTCGCAGTTCAAAAGAGAGAAATGTCGAAATCACTTCTACCTTGTTATGCCTTGGATTGCCACTACCACCGAAAGCCCCTCTGTGGAATGGAGACACAGATAATTTACCACATTTTTTTGTGGGCGATGCTGCGTTTCCTCTCAAGGAAAGCTTAATGCGTCCCTACACTGGCACCCAACTTAGTCGAAGCAACGAAGTTTTCAATTACCGGCTATCGCGAGCTCGCCGTGTAATAGAAAACAGTTTCGGAATTTTAAATGCTCGGTGGCGTGTCCTGCGGCAAGTAATTGACTGTAATCCAGAAAATTGCGAGAAAATTATGTTGGCGTGTTTAGTTCTGCACAACTTTGTGATGCTTAACGATCACAAACTTTGGTATTGCCCAGACCAATATGTGGACGCATATAGCACGGAGCATGGCACAGTAAATGGAGAATGGCGTAATGAATTGGAAAGTATTGGTGGTCCATTGCCATCAACAACTTCTTCACGACGCAACGCAACTTCTGCAGTATTTCGTATTAGGGACAGATTGACGGATTTCTTTTTAAATCAAGGGGCGGTTACACTTTAGTAAAATAAATATAGTTATAAATATATGTATACATATATATATATATCGTCGCCTAAGAGTTTAAACTTGTTAACCCTCCTAACAATTTCTGTGTTTAGCGCAGATAAGAAACTGCTAATATTCTTTACTTGTTAGCATGTGGTTTACTTTATAATACGGTGTTCGCATGAGGCGATTTTCCAGGCAATTTTAGAGGCGATTAGTTGAATCAAAAGTTGGCTGCACCCCACCTTCATTGGAAGCAATTAGTTGAAAGGCCGTTCACACCAGGCGATTTTGCTTTCAACTAAAAGTTGTCTGTAAAATCGCCTCATGCGAACACCGTATAAGCAACACTACGCTGAAAAATTTCTATGAGGGGCTAACAAGTTTACACTATTAGGCGAATTCATATAATAATGTGCAAATTTCAGATCTCTTCTTCAGACTTTGTGCAAAAATTATGAAAATTCTGCAAATTTTCACAAAAATCCAAAGTTTATGATTATATATATAAATATTTTTATAACCGTATATATGTATGAATATATATATATATATATAATTTCTGAACTGAATTTTATATCGTAATTAATTAAG